TGTTAGTCGTGAGACACCTTTAGTGAGGAGAGAAATAGAAAATAATAAAAGAAATAAGGATTTATATTATTCAATTGTATAAATAATGACACACACTATGACTATTTATATACAATCATAATTGAACTTGGGCTAACACAACTTGGATTATATTTAAATATTAAATCTAATCAAATCGAATTTAATATTTCAACACACCTCCATAATCCAAATTGTCGAACATCCTCAAAAATAGTCAATCTGAACTATTCCTAATTTCTTTCTCAAATTCAGGAATTTGTCGATCTTCAATCCTTTCGTGAAAATCTCGGTCAATTGTGCTTCACTTGAGCAATGTCTAACTTCAAGTTCACCTTGATTTACTTTTTCCCTCAAGGAGTGAAATCTTGCTTCAATATGTTTACTTCTTCCATGCAGAACTGGATTCTTCGTCAGATTTATGACTGACTTATTGTCGATTTGCAATACTAGAGGTTTCTTCACTTTGACAGTCAATTCTTCAAGTACAGATCTGATCCAAATTGCTTGACATGCAGCATAGGATCCTGCTATATATTCAGCTTCACACGATGACAATGCCACCACAAGTTGCTTCTTCGAACACCATGAGATCGGGGCATCAAATATGTGAAAGAAATATCCAGTTGTGCTTCTTCGATCTTTCTTATCTCCACACCAATCAGCATCTAAAAAACAATTAATTATTGCTTCTTTGCCTTCAGAATCTCGTCGAAATAGTATTCCACAATTTATTGAACCCTTCAAATATCTCAGGATTCTTCTTGCAGCCTTCATATGTGACACTCTTGGTTCACCCGTATATCTGCTTACTAATCCGACTGCGAAACCTATATTGGGTCGACTGTTGCAAACATATCTCAGAGAATAAGACAATTTTCCTAGATCCAACATTTCAAATTCCTTCGTTATCAGCTCTTTGAACTTCGACAAGTTCTCCAAACTATTTCCAGTTACTAGCAAGTCATCAACATACAAGAAGATGATTGTTATATCTTGTGCTACAACCTGAACATAGATACCATACTCTGATTTGCATTTGACAAATCCCAATTCAACTAAGTATGAGTCGATCTTCTTGTTCCATGCCCTAGGTGCCTACTTGAGGCCATAGAGCGCTTTGTGCAATCTATATACTTTACTCGCTTCCTTCTGAATCACAAACCCAGGAGGTTGTGTGACATAAAATTCTTCGTCTAAAAGACCATTAAGAAATGCTGATTTCACATCTAGATGGAATGTCGACCAGCCTTGGTTGCATGCCAATGCTACCACTAGTCGAACAGTCTCTAATCTTGCTACTAGAGAAAATACTTCATAGTAGTCAAGTCCTGCTCTTTGAAGAAAACCTCAAGCTACTAATCTTGCTTTATGTCTTGATATTGACCCATCTGCACTGTGTTTCAACTTGAACACCCATTTTACTTCGATAGCTTTTGTATGTGTTGACAATTCGACTAACTCCCATGTGTTATTTCTTTCGATTTCCTGTAACTCTTCGACCATAGCTAACTTCCACTTGTTATTATTCAAAGCTTCGCTATAGTTGATTGGTTCAGCACCTGCAAGTAAAGCAAAATGAACTAGTTCTCCATCTAGTGTGATTTCATCATCACCCACCACTTTATAATCATGAAGTCTTATTGGAAGAACTTTATTTCTTTGATGTCTTTGGCTTGTTTCAGCCACAGCCTCTTCGACTTCGACTGTGACGAGAGTGTCAGCAACTGCTTCTTCTTCGACTTCGACTGGATTCTCAACAATTCCTTCGACCTCTACTTCATCAATTTCTTCGTCGAAATCAAAATTCATTAATGGCTTGTTGCTAGAATTCCAATCCCAGGCATAATTTTCATTAATCATAATATCTCGACTCAACACAATCTTCTCATTAACTGGATTGAATAGTCTGTATGCACCAGTTTTATGATATCCTACCAGAATCATAGGTTCACTCTTGTCATCAAGTTTCCTTCTCCTTGCATCAGGAACATGCTTGTAACACATAGAGCCAAACACCTTCAAATGAATTATTGATGCTCGTTTGCCACTCCACACTTCTTCAAGAACCTTGTTCTTCAATATCTTAGTAGGACACCTATTCAAAATATAAATTGCAGTCGAAACAGCTTCTCCCCATAAAGACTTTGACAAATTCTTTTGCTTCAACATGCATCTCGCCATATCTAATATGGTTTTGTTTCTTCTTTCAGCAATTCCATTATGTTGAGGTGTATAAGGAGCAGTTACCTCATGATCAACACCATGTTTTGCACATAAATCTTCAAACATCTTGGATGTGTATTCGCCACCTCCATCTGTTTGCAGAACTTTGATTTTCTTATCACTCTGGTTTTCGACAAGTATCTTGAATCTCTTAAAGATTTCAAATACTTCATCCTTTCGTTTGATCACATAGATCCATAACTTTCGACTAAACTCATCGATAAATGAAACAAAATATCTATTTCCACCAATTGTATGTTCTTCGAATGGACCACATACATCTGAATTCACCACTTCGAGAATGCAGGATGATCTCATTGACATAGTCGAAACAAAAGAATTTTTGGATTGCTTTCCTACTAAACAACCTTCACAAAGTTTTTCAGGAATCTCAAGGCTTGGAATACCAGTAACCATACCTTGAGTAATCAGTTGATTAAGTGATCGAAAATTCAAAGGTAAAAACCTCAAATGCCATAACCAACTATCCTTGTGGTCAACAACAGTTTTCAAACATTGAACTTATGTCGAACTGATCATAGTTTTAAATGTCCTATTTTTCGACAATGGAGATTTTAAGACCAAATTGTTTTTGGTGTCGAACAATTTCAAAACTCCATGTTTCATGACAACTGAGAAACCTTTTTCGACTAGTTGTCCAACACTTAACAAGTTGCATTTCATTCCAGGAACATAAAGCACATCTTTGATCATAGCTTTCTCTCTATTACTCATTTGAAAGACTATGTTGCCAGTACCTTCTGCTTGTAACGAACTATTATCAGCAAATTTTACCTTGCTCTTCTTCGACTCGTCAAAATCTTCCAACCACTCCTTTCGACCAGTCATGTGGTTCGAGCAGCCTGAGTCAAGAAACCAGATCTTGAATTCGACATGGTTATCTGCAACTGCAGCCATAACCATCATACCACCTTCAGAATCATCTGAATCTTGGCGTGCAAGGTTCGCTCCTTCGTCCTTGCCTTTCGATCCCTTGTCTTTTCTGTACAAACAATTCTTGGCCAAGTGTTCCCAGTTTCCACAGTTATAACACTGCATACCTTTCTTATCTTCTTTTTCCTTTCGATAGTTTCCTCCTCCCCTTTTCAAGGATTCATAAGATCTATCTTTGATCTTATTCTAAGGGGGATTCGACCAAGACTTCTTGCCATGAGTCTTGTCGAACTTGCCTTTGAATTTGTTAGAATCACCATCCTTTTTCCATGACTGAGCTTGCAGTTCCTGTATCGAGTCCTGAACTCCTTTTCTTTCGACAATCCTCATCTCATGCGCCTCCAACGAACCAACCAAATCTTCCACTTTAGTGGTTTCAATATTGTTGGATTCTTTAATAGCTACGATAACATGATCAAAGTGAGAGGTCAACATTCTCATTACCTTCTCAAATATCATCTTATCAATAATGGTCTCACCATAACCCTTCATGAGATGGACGGGTTTCTGAACCTTCGACACATTTTCTGCAACTTTTTCATCTTCTCCCATCGATAACAACTCATATTGTCGATGCAAGGTTTGTAATTTGACATCCTTGACTTTCTCACCTCCTTCGAAATACTTCACCAGAATATCCTATGCCTCCTTCTCTGTTTCAACATGAGAGATTCTGTCGAAATTTGCAGCATCGACAACTGTTTGAATGCAATAAGCAGCCTTGTAATCTTTCTTCTTGACTTTATTGTGGGTTTTTTTTTCTGTTCGTCGGTTGCCTTTGTAGTCAACACAGGAACGCTGTCGGTAATCACTTCTAGAGTTCATGGAAGCCAAACAAGGATTGCATATGTTTTTTCTATCGGATCCAATTATTGCCGTCAAGCATTGGAAGAGAATTTGGAATGTCCTTATCACTAGCCATCTTCGCAGCGGTTGATACACTTGCCCTAGAAAACGACCTCTGACGTGAAATTCTTGAAAACTTGATCAAGAACAATATCTAGAAGCTCTGGATACCAATTTGTTAGTGCGTGAGACACCTTTAGTGAGGAGAGAAAGAGAGAATAATAAAGAAAATAAGGATTTATATTATTCAATTGTACAAATAATGATACACACTATGACTATTTATATACAACCCTAATTGAGTTTGGACTAACACAACTTGAATTATATTTAAATATTAAATCTAATCAAATCTAATTTAATATTTCAACAATTTTAATATTCAACTTTTTAATCCTTTAGTTTTATTTTCATTGAATTTTTTTAGTCCCTTTCATTCTTACATATTGTTAACGGAAAATTTCGACTACATAAATTTTAAGTGAAATGATATATTTTAGAGAATATAATTCGAAAAAAAGAATAAAGGAGTTTGTGTGAAGATTTCGACAGATGAAGAACTAATAAAAACTTTGTTTTTACTAAGTGTTGACAAAAGGTCCGTACTCGAACCATAGAGATTTCAAATTATTCGAAATATCATTAAATATATTTCGACAATCACGTTTAGCCCAAAAATTTTATTTTGCATTTATTTTCAAAACTAACAATAAATATCCTAATAGAAAAATAAATATAATAATATTAAAATTTTAATATGTGATTTATTGAACCAATTAAAGAGACTAATCTCTCAATTCAAAATAAAATATAATGCGGGGTAGAGTTTTTTTTTCAAGAAAATCATCACTTGAACACAATCGATTAGACTTTTAATTTTAAATGAATTCCTTAATTAGAAATTAATGAATCCATTTTGTAAATTAAGAATAAGAAATTCTCTACCATGGCTTTTTTCAGAATATGTGGATACTTTGTAATGCAGTTGCAGTAGTTTCATATCCAGTAAATAATAGTCCTATGAATAAGTCACTAATATCCACATCTTCCAAATTTCTACCATTCGCATCTTTGACTTCCAATAAAATATCTATAAGATCTTTTTTCTCTCCCACTTGTTGACCATTTTTTATCATCAACCTTCTTTCATCCACAACAGGTTGAAGTATTTTGGCTATCTTATTGCGTGCCTACAATAAAATCAGGCAAAAATGTAGAACAATTAATTCCTACTAAAGTATATTACCATTGTTGCGGTTGTAAATAGGGTTGCGGGTATCACATTTAGATTGTTGTACTTTGGCCATTTGAGCCTTTCTTTTTCTTTATAAATGAAAGATTATAATCTTAAGTGCTTTGTTGAAAGTGAAACCAGGAGCATTGATAGGGAGAGAGAACATTCCATTAGACAAAACCGTAAATGAACTTCTAAAGCTTTTAACAATATTTCGATTAGAAGATCCCATGAAAATATTGACAGTGACTTCAAAGGAAACCTTCTTCATCTCTTTCAACAACTCAATAGGGTGCTTCATGCAATATAAAAAGTCACAAGCAAAATAATTAAATCACTATATATATATATATATATATATATATATATATATATATATATATATATATATATATATATATATATATATATATATATATATATATATATATATATATATATATATATATATATATATATATATATATATATATATATATATATATATATATATATATATATATATATATATATATATATATATATATATATATATATATATATATATATATATATAAAGGTTGTCAATGAAGACTCAGATTCGCCGTTGAAAAATGTTTGATGAATAATACGAGATTTTCTATAAGTGGCCAACCCATATCATCAGGAGGCCATAGAATTTTATTGGCATGGAGGTATAGAATTTGAAGGCGTATGTAGATGTTGAACGTGACGATATCTTATTTAGAGACTGTTTAGTCGAAATTAGTATATATAAGGATTTTAGTATTAAGATTCAGTGTATTCACATCTTTGTATAAAATATTTTAAATTATTCAAAGTACTAATGTTAAAGAAACGAGTTTGTGAGAATGTACGTATGATGCACCAATTTTATGTTTATTATTATCCAACTTTAATTGAAAGCTTTATACATTCATTTAAATTTCAGTCGAAATCTCTTTACATTCCAGTCTTTTCTTTAAAAGCATTACTTTACTATTTATGAAGTTACAATTGAAATCAACTTTGATTAAAATAATAAGAATGTTGTCAAAAGTTTTCTTGTTTTAGGAATAGAAGTTTTGAATGAGAACACATGTACTTAGGATCAAAGTGGTCGATCCTGCAAGTTACCATTTTTTATTCGATTTGGAAGATCAACGGTTGTTTACCAAATTTCACAGTAAACAAATTGGCACGTCTAGTGGGACCTGTGTTCAATTTTTCTGTTATATTTCTATTCCAATAAATTTTTTTTGAAAATCTTCATTATCTTTCTGTATTTTTCTGTTTGTATGAGACTTAGGAGTGATAAGTTAGCCACAAACAACAAGGAAATATCCAAAAGAAAGTATATTAGGAAAATGGCGAATCTAGGCCAGGAAAGTAATAAAAAATCCTCCTAACAATGATGAAGTACCACCCCCAGTCACTTCGACAGGGGGAAACACGATTTCCGCGCCTTCTTCTGAGGCCATACCGTCATCAACAAGTTCGACGCCAACGCTGTCGAACACTTATACTGATCGTCTTTTTACTTATATAGGCCCAACAGGTTCACAAGGAACCCCCCCTCCAGGGGGAAATATTTTTCACAGGCTTCAGGGGTCACCTGGTTTTTCCATGCCTCAAAATGACCGTGAGCGGCCTTATGGCATGCCATCTTCATTTATGATGGGCTTACATAATTCTGCTTCAACATATTCAGATCCTGTGATGAACGTCACTTCGCCATTACAAGGATTTGGATCTGCGGTTAATAACAGGGGTTGAAACGTCCAACCACAAATCGAAAGAGTTTCTTCCCAATTACCAAACCTAACAGATCAATCTACATTAGTAATTAGATATCAAATGGACGAGAGTAGCCATGAAATGATCCAAATGCTTGCACAAATAATGGGTACAATCTTTAACCCTTTGATTTAAAACACTACTCAGGCGAACCAACAAATGGCTGCACAAATGACGCACATCACTGGCCTCTTTGGTGTGCCCCAACCAACAACACATCCTCAGAGGGAGTGAATTAGGTAAAATCAAGGGATAATCTTAGAAGAATATCCAACAATTAACCAAGTTCAACATAATCAAAGAAATGTACCCAAGGAGAACGTGGTAAATCAAGGAGGAATGGTCAAAAGGCCTAGAGTTGCAAATGTTAAAATACATAGGGTTGAACCCTTTAGGAAAGAACCACAAGTGTTAAGGCAACCAGAACCTAGGGTTATGATGGTAAATAGAAACCAAAATACTGGTGAAGTTTTATACCAAGTTCGACAGGACAATGTGGCAGCAAATAAAAATCTAGCAGCCATGCTCGAAATAATTATGGCACGTAATGGTGTAAATGTAGGACTTACTAGGCCAAATTATACTTCTCCTTTATCTGAATATATTCTACAGACTGGATTGTCTAGGAGTTGAAAAGTTCCAAAGTTCACAAAATTCTCTGGTGACACCAGCGAATGAACGGTCAAATATATAACTAGGTCTCTTACCGAGGTTGGGGACATAGCGAACAATGAAAACCTAAGGATAAAATATTTTTGTAGTTCACTAACCAAAAATGCTTTCACATGGTTTACTATCCTTGCAGCAAATTCTATCCAAGATTGGGCGCATTTAGAAAGGATATTCCATGAAAAATTTTATGTAGGTCAGTCGAAGATAAGTCTCAACGAATTGGCCAACATTAAGCGCAAATTTAGTGAGCCAATTGATGATTATCTCAACAGATTTCGCCTGCTAAAGGAAAAATGTTTCACCCAAGTACTGGAACATGAATTAGTTGAGATGGCTGCAAGAGGATTGGATTTCTCCATCAGAAAGAAATTGGATCCCCATTACTTAAGGGATATGGCCCAACTGGCAGATAGGGTTCGATAAGTGGAGCGCTTGAAGGTCGAAAATCCAGAGCGAACAAGAGCCATCGAAAGGAAAAAGTGGCATACGTTGAAGTAGAGGAAGACGAACAAGAAATCTATACTGAACTCTCTGACTTCGACGAAGTCGAAGGCGATTTGGCTGAGTTGAAATAGGGACCACCATATCCTTGTTAAGTCCTGGCTCCTTCGAACGAAAAAAAAATCCCGTCGAGCCTGAAAGAATGATAAATTCCCAAAAAAGATATATATACCTTCGATGTTACGAAATGTGATGAAATATTCGATTTATTAGTAAAAGATGGTAAAATGATAGTACCACCTTGTTGTACCCAAAAATTTTTCCTCTCTTTTCTCAAGACATTTTCTAACAAGGATTTATTAAAGTTCAAGATTGCACAAGTATAATTGGATTTTTTAATGCCCCACATAGTTTCCATGGATCATATTGGATTTTCAAGCATCAAGTCAAGGAGGAAACTGTTGAAAGAGCAAAGTAGATAAATTTGATTCTTTTTGACAAAAATTAGGAAAAGCAAGCTTGCTTCAATTCATACTAGCTTTGATTGGGCATTGTTTTGACTCATGCTAGCTTCGACTGAACTCCTTCCTTCAGGCCAACTTCGACTGGGTAATATCTCCCTTCGAAACATCTAGCTTCGATTCAGAAGGAAATGACCTCCTACATGCTTGCTTCGATTCACAAGCATTAGCCTCCTGCATGCTTATTTCGATTCACAAGCAATACATCCTTCACGCCTGCTTTTGATCCACAAGACAAGTGCCTCCTCTGCGCTTGCTTTCGACCCACAAGGAAATGGATGCCTCTGTGCTTGCCTTAAATGCACAAGGAAATGGCTTCCCTTCATTCTAGGGCCCACAAAGCTAGTGGCCTCCTGCATGCAAACTTCGATTGAGCAATGACCCCTTACATGCTTGCTTTGATTAACAAAACAATGGCCTCTTACAGTGTTTATTTTGATTCAGGAAGCAAGGGCCTCTTTCCTGCTTGCTTTAATTCACAAGGCATGAATTTCCCCCATGCTTGCACCCACAGGGCATTGGCTATTTTTATACTAGCTTCGATTGGATAATATCTCCCTTTGAAATAGCTTGCTTCGATTCCACTTTTGAAAACCTTCAACACACATACTTTCAACACTATGGCACACAATGGGTGTCCCATTCGAAGGATATATATTGGTGGACATACATGGGTGTCCTATTAGAAGGACATGCATTGGTGTACATAGATGGGTGTCCCATTTGAAGGACATGCATTGGTGGATTTGAAGGACGTACCTGGGTGTCCCATTCGATAGACATATCTTGGTGGCCCATTCGAAGAATTGCAAATGGTGCACACAATTGATGCATGTGGTCCCTTCAAAGGACGTGCCTGGGTGTCCCATTCGAAAGACATCTCTTGGTGACCCATTCGAAGAATTGCAAGTGGTTCAAACAAGTGATGCATGTGGTCCCTTTGAAGGACGTACCTTGGTGTCCCATTCGAGAGACAAATATTGGTGGCCCATTCGAAAAATTGCAAATGGCCCATTCGAAGGATACATATTTGTTGGGAACAAATATTATTGTCTGAAGAGGAGTCTGGTCGAAGGTTGAACCTATGTGGTCAAAATGAAAGGATGAAGTATTCAAGATGCTTGTGCTGCCAAGTACAAGCCTGCTGCACTGGCCACAACACGCCAAAATTGCTGCAAAGAAGTCCTGCTATGTTGCTCCCATATTTGCACCAAATTGACATACAAAGACTGCACCTCGAAAGCTACAAAAATATCACACCCAATTTATTCAAATCTCATTTGTTTTCCCTCCCAAGCCTCAGCCAATTTCATCTATAAATAAGAGGTTCCACAACACATATAAGGGAGATTTTTTTGGTAGCTGAAGAAACTTTTGTTGTGTGAAAAAATCATTAAACGCTCTCAAACTCTCAAACTCTCACAAAAATATAAAACCCCTTCATACATTATTCAACCCAGAATCAAAAAAGAGACATTACACATTTGTTCTTTATTTCGAATCCAAGTTTCCTTTCCCTTCAAATAGCCTCTTTCCTTCCTTCGAATCCAAGAGTATCCCAGGGAAGCAACTCAAGTCCAAAACCCACATTCCAGCTTCAATCAAGGTAAGTCCTCTTAACCTTAAAACTTTTGTTTCAAGCATAACATGTAAATAACCATTACCTTTCGTTTCAAAAATCATTATTACCCTTTGGTTTGTTTTCGTTTCCACCTTTTCTGTGTGTTGTTGTTTCTAATATTTTGGTTTGTTTTCTTTGTTTATCAAACATATTTTAAAAACTAACATGACCATGAAACAATATTAGCATGGCTTCAACCCTGCTGCTATTTAATCCCAAACGAAAGAAAGAAGGTTGTGTGAATCGAAGCCTTAGGCTTCACGCCATGCT